CATATGTTCACTGTATTAAGCTTTACCATAGAAGGAACTAAGAAGCAAAGTCGAAAGAAAGCTGATATTGTATGGTTTAAAAGCCTGGCAGTAGAAATAATAATCAAGGAGAAAATTCAGTAAGAGCCATTCTGTGGTACCTCTGCTGCTTCAAAGGGCATGTAATGAAACACCATCATCCTTAAACATTGCTAGCAGACTGTCTTCAGACAAGAAGACTTAGGACATTTACATTGCAGCTGCTGTCACCTTTGTGCTTAACCTAAATTGAAAAACTTGATACAGAAGGTGACATGAGAAGAAGACAAATTAGAATTTAGAATCTGGGAAAATTCTACACTTTTTGAAGAGGGATAGTGTAAAATAGCAAAGCAAAAAACTATTGTGGAAGAAAGTTTGGAAATTAATAGCAAAGGCTATTCCACAATCTAATGTTATAATTTACAGTTATTAGAGTATTATAGCATGTCTAGAGACAAACTAAATTTAACAAATTCACATCATACACTTTTAAGTATACTTTCACAAGCATTCATCTACATGATATATCAGCATTTGTCTGCAGATGGGATACTTCTACTCCCAAAAGTGCACTCTCTAGGCAGAATTCATAGCACACATCTTGCTAAAAAGATAAATAACATGAAAAAAAATACTTAGGCTGAAGCATAATATCCTGTCCTTCACATTGGTATCAAGAAGGTTTTGCAGATTTAGCGGTTAGTGGTTGTTACTTAGCAGTTGAATTTCATCTTTGTGTTTGTACTTGGAGATGTAAAATATTTATCATCAGATAATCCTACTTTTTCAGTACTGCAATGATTCCTTTTAAAACCTCTTTAAAACGAGAAGGCATCCTGTTTGGGCAGTCCCAGGTAAGGACTGGCTTAGCCTTCTGCCCAACACTGCCCATGGAGGTGGATCTACCACAAGGTGTGGAGGAACTGATGGAAGTGGATCCATCTCGGCCAGAACAGACCTGGGACTACCGCAGTGCATCTTTGCTCTCTGCTATCTGAGCACAAAAACAGCGTCGCAGGAGTACCTGGCAAGCCCCCTACTCGTCATCGCGCAGGCTTCATCCCAAGCATTAGCTTGGAGCCCACAAACACCATAAACATCCCCAGGCTTACCTGCAAGACATCCCAGCAATAAACCACTCTGCTGCCAGTTCTCAGGGGTTGTGTGAGTGCTTCTTTCCCATCCCCCAGCCCTTGTGCCAGAGGTGGCATCCCTTCTGTACAGAGCCTCGAGGAAGAGCACAAGAGAGGACCCCTTCGGGTCCTAACATTTGTGCAAATATTAGACTGAGGGGTGAAAATAGGAGTGTGTAAGTGATTATAGGTGGCTAATAAGGTAACAGAACAAGTTTCCTAAGAATCACTATGGTCATATTCAGAAAACATCCCCCCCAAACAAACAATAAACCTTGGCCTAACGATAACGATAAATTTCTGAAGCTTATTATTCATAACGGTGCCTGGTGAAACAATACAACTTCTGGTATACTGCAAAATTCTGCAAGATCAGACATCTCAAAATGGCTACCTAGCTTTTTTGATTCAGTCAAATTCCAGTTGTCTTGTCATCTACTGCTTTTCAAGGTTATTTTTCTTGTGTGAGATGTTTAGTTGTCCTTCAGTATAAATTCTTTTGGCTCTTGTGACAGTTTGTTAAGTGGAGTGATATTTTGTGAGAAACTTCTAAATTACTGTCTTAAGTGACTTACATGCAAGAAAATAAAATAATAATAATAAAATGTAATAATAATAAATGAAGGTTCATTTTCAACTCTTCCCAGTGGAATTCATCTGGTCTCTATTAGTCAGAGCATTCATAATGTTGTTGGCATTTACACATATTTTTGCAGTGTGATTATGGGATAGTATTATATGAACACACTATATCTGTTGAGAAAATCATCACCATCATCTCTTGATCAGGAAATAAATTAGGTAGAAGTACAGCATGGGAAAAAAAAATCTGATTTACTACTTATGTTAAATCTGCATACCACATTTGCAGCCTTTTCTGTTAATGGATATAAAAAAGAAAATCTACCACCCTCTATTAAGGTATCCTTAGGTAAATATCACTGTAAGACTTTATTATGTCATGTGCTATGAATCACCTTTGATCACAGCAAGCGAATAGGTATCAGTACATGTGGATATGATCCATTACTGCAAATACTTAAAAATTAAAACAAATCAAATCTATCCCAACTTAAATCAGTGGAGCAACAGACGGAGCAGAACTGACAGATTACAAACATTATTAATACTTATGCATGATTCATTTTGCTTTGGCATGCCAAAACAGTTTGGATTAAATTGTTTTAAATACTTGTATCTTCAAAATTCAAAGTAACTTGTCAATGAAACATGAAATTTGTCAGAACTTTCATTATCTCTACGCTAAAAATATCATAAATAAATACACCTCCTCAATGTTAAATGTTTATCAGTCTTGCTTTTTTGAGAGAGACTGATTGGATGGTACATTAATAATGAAAGGTAGATCAAATAATCAGAATCTGAGTAAAAAATGCTTAATTCATGAGACAAATACACAAAACAGTTCAAGTAATTAATAGAAATTGAATGTCTTATCATATTATTGCCATGAATCACTGTCTTTTTAGCTGGATACAGGAAATATTTAAGAGATTAAACACAAAGTAATTCATGAGTTTATACTTTTTATGAAGGCATAATAATGTGACTGTACTTTCAAACTGTCTGCCATTTGTTATTTGCAATTAACACACTTTCTAAAAGCTGCTGGTTGCTGGTTTTCAAACCAATGCTCTATTTTTCATTTCTAAAAATAATATTCAGCTGCAGCAGGGCCAAATTTTATATACATTCTTTTGTTTAGCTTGTATGTTGACAAATTTGTATTTAATTTATAAAACAAGTCAAATCCAAAGATGAATTCAACAGTTGCCCAAATTTTATTAGAGAACTTTTTGTGTGTGACTGTTACTGGTTGAGGTATTTAACAAAAGTGAATAGGAATTCAATTGTTATTGTGAAAGAATAAACTACATAGCACTGAGAAGGTTTCATAGTGCTTTTTGCAATAAAATTACATCTATAAAATCAATTTACAGGGTATTATTTTGGTCATGGAAGTACTCTTAGTGAGACAGAACATTTATTATCAAATTAAGATGCAAAGTGTGATTTCCTTTTCTCCAATACTATCTGGTATCTTAAAATACTAGAGAAGTGTCATCTACATAAAAGTATTCATATCTCCAAAATATCAGAAGTAAAGCAACGAATTGTACCAGCCACACTCAGTTCTAGACTGAGAGAAGCACAATAGCTTTCTACTTCTGCTCATGTAAATTACTCTCTTGTAATAGGTGAACTCAAGCTAATGAAATAAGCTGATTATGACCACAAGGACCACTGTACTGTCATAGTTCCCCTCCACCCCCCATTTAATTGCTTAATAGTCAAAAACAATGCTACCATATAATATACTACCACAGAATACCATGCATATATGAGACGTGATATATGCATATGAATGTGACACATTTGGGGAGTTTCAGATCATGTGTGCATGTCTGTTGATGGCCTGCAAACATGGTGTTCACAGACTACACTTCCCCTTTAACAGCTTCATTCTTCTTTCCCAATAAGTTTTTTTTTTCTTCCCTTTGTTTTTTAACATCTTCCCAACATACATGCCTTATTTTATAAGTAAAATTTGGAAATTTAGCATCTGATCCTCAGTCTACGTTCTGAAAACTTTCAAATCCAATTATGTCAGCTCTCTGCTTATCTGTCTTCAAATATACCCATACAAATATTACACTTGCTTATTTAAAAGGTACGTCAAGATTTCCCAGGGTTGATTATACACCTCCCACGACAGCTGTCCTTTCCAGTAAGATACACAAAAAGCTACTCTCAGGCGATGCTGTTTTATTGCCTGAGATCACTTTTAGCCCTGCTTAACAAAAAACAAACAAACAAGACAGCCAACAAACAAACAAAATCAACAAAAACAAGCAAAACCCACAGAAACCTGTAACAAATCAAATACTCTTAAACTCATTTTAGTCCCTCTGCTGACATACTCGGATTTAATTACCAGTTACAGGAACTAATACATCCATCCTATCATTGTGAAATATGACAATGAGGTTAAAAAGGGAAAAACTACCTGGATTTGCTTTCAAAAATTCTAGTAACACAGTCAATATTTGATTTGCAATAGAAATAGACATTGAAAAATTCACACCTTCATTAAAAGACAATGCTTAACATGCATTATAAGCTTAACATGCTATATACATCTATTTAGAAACAGCAAAACTCTCTACATTGACAGAACAGCAGATGACTTTATATGACTCTATGCAACTAATGTTAATTAAATAATTGTTAAATTGTTAATTAAATAAATGTTAAAAAGTGTGTAAGACTTTCCCACTATGCAATCTGGGCAGTTATAGCTTTTCCTTTGAGTTACATACTTACTAGCAAGGAATTGCAAATAGAAATGGTTACAATGGGGAGGCAATAGTTTATAACTGATTTAACAGCATGGCTTTGCCTTTCGTAAACAGTCAAAAATCCATGATCTCCCTGCTCAATTGTGCTATACAATATCTGCTATATATCTGCAAATCTTATACAAAATAACTTTTATATACAAACTTTGAAACTGATGCAGTTAAATGAGTGACACAAAATTTGTTGAGTGCAAATCATTATTGTCCATAAACAGCAGAATGAGAAATACCTATTACCATACTTAGGACCTAAATGCGTAATAAGCATGTTTTTTTCGTTTGTTTGTTTTGTTTTGTTTTTGTTTCAAGAACATTTGCCTAAAAAAAACTTTGAAAAAGCATTTGATAGGGTGGTGTGGGATTACTGTTTGTTGTTTTGTGTGTGTGTTTGTTGGTTTTTTTTTTTTTTTTTTTTTTTTTCCCTACAGTACTTGAAGCAAGAGTACTTATTCATTCAGATATCAAAAGCTGAGGGCCACACTCTGATCTGAACTCAGGCTCAAAATATTCCTGGATATTCATATTGTCATAATTGTTACCACAGGCAGAGTAAGAAAGATGGTTGGTCATTATTTTTTTATGATTCTTCCACCAGTGCTTGCAGTCAGCCTATCCAAAATGGGTAAATCTCCTCTAACTATCTCCCCTTCCTCAGACTAGGGTTTTACAACAATGTTGCCTGTTAGCATCTACCTTGAAAAGAATCTGATTTCTTATTTTCTGTAATGTTGCTTGAAGATAATTTAAACTGCCTCTTAACCACATGATCTTAAATGTAATCAATATCTACTAACAGCATGGATTATTAATCAAAGAGGGTTGACATATTTTTATTTGACCTTTATGAGCAAACCCTCTTAGTGATGACACTCGTGTTTAACATCAGCATATTGTACCAACACTATTCATCTTTGGAGAAACTATGAGACCACCAAAATCAATGGCAAAAAAGGACAGATTTCATCCTTGAAGTGTGGATTCAAGAGCAGGCAATACGAGGCAGCAACATCTGTAGTTTTGTAAGTACACAAACTACATTTACATTTTATCCTACCAAATACATTATCATCCATGCAATTATTACCAATCATTCATTTTTGACTGACCCTCATGCCTCAGTCTTCCACAGACAACTTGTTTTTTGTAAAACAGAGAGATTAGACTAAACTAATCTCATGAAACAGAGCCCAAATGACTTCAGTGCATTTCCTGGAGACTCATGCAACATTTATACACCTTCCACATTATGTTCACCAAAAGAAATAAAAAATGTATAGATACCCAAGAACAGAATTCAAGCATGTTTTACAATCTTTACATATGAAAAAACTTGTATCTGCCTTTTATAAACACAAGAACTAAATTGCACAGTGTCTCATTCTGCAGTGGAATTAAAAGAATTTCTCTAAGGAAGCCATGTTTGCCTACCTTAAAATGATGCAATCTCAACATGTAAGTATCTTGCAAATTTAGGGTTCAACAGTTTCTCAAATAACATGCATCTGAGTGGTTGGGGCACATTGCTCTGCAAGCATACACAAGAAAGAACAAATGTTTGCTTTTCCATGTATAAAAACTATAATAGTATTATTTTACTTGATGATATAATTAGAACTTATATCAGCTGTTAAACCATTATGCACTGGTTGACAGAGTTCCCTTGTTTGTTTGTTATGATATTACACGTCTAAACAACCTCTTACAGCTAAAGATATATTATCTTGAATTACATTTAACAGCTTAGTATTACGCAATACATTATATCTATGTAAGGGACAATGTCTACATTCTATTGAAGTTTGTTCTTTAATTTTCATAATGCTACAAGGTATGAGCTAATGAACTACAACTTTTGCTCTTTGCTGCTCTCAAAGCTGACAGGAGTATGAACATGCAGGGTAAACATTTTTTTACTTTAAGTGCATGAATGAAATCTAAGCATTAGCTTACTGCTCCATGTGGTAAGCTGAGTCTTACTCTGAAGACCTGTGAACTGAAAAAGAATAAAATAAGTAAATTTGTGAAAGAACCATTCAATGAAAATTGGCTAAATCCTGCAAATCCACAACCTCAATATGCCCAATATTACAATGATTCATACACTGTGCAGGCTTGGTAGGGTGAAAATTTAATAAATTTCCCTTAGAGAGTATATCTGGAATCACTCTTTCCCTGTATCAGTTTGACCCAAACAGGTTTAGTAGGTTCTCAGTTCTCTAAGAAATTTTGTCCCCATAGGGAGCTTTCCTACTTACAAACAGTTAATTCCACCCACTTCATGTCTTTCATTGGAAGAGCCAAAATATCAATAAGTCTGTCTGTACCGCAACAGAGCAATTAATATTTGTGTGATAATGACATACCCAGTTGTTTGCACAGAGCTTTTTGCAAAGCATGAAACACCTGACAGATTTTAGCAGTAAACACTATGACTATGAATACTCTGAATTGCAACAGATGGGAGAGAAAAGGTTAAGCTGAGGCAATTCAAATCTCCTTTGATTCCTCACACCCATCTGCAAATGGTGAGTGCTACGGCAAGGAGGAAATCATGGTCTGCTGAACCTGCACCAGGTCCAGCTCGCTCTGCTTAGGGAGACATTTGCAGCAGTTATTCATTGGCTGCTACCCTGTGGACTGAGCAATAGACTCCATCAAGCTCATTGGCGCACAGCGCAAATATTCATCACTTGGCCAAGGTACAATTTATTAAAACATATCAATTAAATTACCTGATGTCCAATATGATGTGAATTTTACAGCAGTATCTCATTATGCTACAAGTTCTCTTTATTTCCACATTGAAAATCTCAAGGTAATCACAGGAAGAAAAATAACCAACCATATAAACAAATATTATCTTTTACAACCACAAATAGATTGCATCCCTAAAGCTGAATTACTGTGCATCTTATTCTGCATTATTTTGTGCAATTACTTCTTTGATTACCAGTGTGATAATGCTGAGATGAGTTTTCAACCTTTCAGAATTAGACCTTTATACACAAATATGTTTTGGAGAATAGCAAATGATTTAATAGTGCATACATAATAGTAGCAGTAAAAATTGTAGCAGTCCTATAATTGAGCTAATGGAGAATCTGATGGAAAGACAAGATAACAAAGGAGAAATGATGCAGTAAAAATTGCTTCACTTCGAATCCAAATGGTAAAAGTAGCTTGAGAAGCCTAGGATTTCACGTGCAGCTAGTTTCTGAAATGAAATATTCTAATATAATAAAAAGACATTAAGTAACACATGACTAAAGAGAAAAGAAAAAAGACAAGAATATTCCACCTAGACTGTCATTTTTTAAAAAATTACTGCTATCAGGAGGTTTTCATAATTTTGGAAAACTTGCTTGAGAAGTTGTTCTTCTCCACATAAGAAAAGTGTCTTAAAGTGCATGAAATTCTTCATCTAGTGAGAGTAATTGGAAAGGTTCTTGAGCATGCAAAAAATATAAAATAAAGATGCCTTATTAGAGATGACAAATTGGATGTTGGATAGCAGTAATGAAAGCTACTGTAGATAATGTGCAGCAGAAAAACTGTCTCTTGTGTGATTTTCATATTAAAATATAAAAACTCCTCCTTTCATTACTTCTCTTAACATTTCCAATTGTCTTTATTATTTTGTTTCTTTTATGCAGTGGATTAAAGTTTTATGGCACTGGGGGCAAATCTTTCTGTCCTTTTATATATAATGCCACTAGTCTGAAGAGAGAAACAAGGAAACAAAGCACAGACTGGCCATTACATAAGCTGGTTTTGAATATTGCTTCATTGTACTTCTGCTGAATAGTCTGAAGACAGTTTTTACTATTGCCAAACCTTTTGGAGGTTTGACTTCAATTTGCAAATCATGTAATTGTTGAAAAAATAGTAATCTGTGTGTTTGCTTGGATGGGCAGAGGACAACAAAGGGAATGAGAGGTGTGTGCCAGGGATGGTGTTAATATAAATGGTCTGTAGTCAAACCATTAATCTACATCCTTGAAAACATGATCTTCTCCTAAATATAAGGAATAAAATTTTGTGCACATATGCAATGATGCTTGTATTTGAGCTACAGGTTTCTGTAATGTTATGTGAGCATACAGATCAAGTGCTGTTCTGCTCCCACCGCTGTGAGGAGAGTGCAGCAATGCTCTGCAGGCAGCCATGGACTGCTCTGCCGCTGCCTGAGGTGCTCTGTTTGGGACCTGTAATCAAACTTGTGGCTCCTCACACTCTTTCAAGGTGCACATGTCCTATGCACTAGACACCTTTATACAAGGATGCTCAGTGGTTGCTGGTTTACACAGGTACCATAGGCTTCAGCTCTCCTATCTGCTTCTCCAGTTCCAGAACAATGTGCAGTTACAGCTATGTGTGAGGACAGCAAACATGCTTTTGGGTTTAATACTCTTCTACCCTTATGTAACAAGAATTAACATATGGTGCAAGTTGTTCCAGTGACTTCAGGTCTCATATGGCATAAAAATGTCAAAAAGCACTTTCTCTTGCAAGTTAAGCAACAACATTACTCTGTCATCAGGTTCAGCTTGGCAAATATGCTATGCTTTTTCAGAGCTGCTCTGTACGTACCTGCAGGCAGAACAGCCACCAGCCTATGTGCAGTTTCACTTGTGGTTAGAAATGCAGCGGGGGCCTTCAGTACAGCACGGCCATCGTCTTCCACCGGTGGGACTTGTCACTGAGCACGACAAAATAACAGTGTGTGAACACAATACCATCTGACATGGCTTCAGCTTTAAAGAAACAGATCATTTTGATAACAGCAGGTAGAAGTAAGAAATTACCCATAAAACACTGCTAAACACTGCTGCTGCCTGAAGGTTGAAGTGCTGTGTGCAATGGGTATTAGTTTGCCAGAAGCACCCCTAGTTAAACACCACAGAAATTATTGGAATACTTTTGAAATCACACTGAGGATCTAAACAAGTGAAAACATTCCATAAACCTTCCACCCACATATGTCAATTCAAATGCTCGACTTTTCTTCAGGTATTTATTTAAATAGGCATGAAAAGGAAAGGTACACATTCTAATACCACTCAAAATGAATGCATTGTCGGAATTTTAGAAGTAAAGAACTCATTCTGCCTTTATGTTAATCTTATTGAACGGCTGAGAAGTCATTTTATGGTAACTTATTATCACTGAGGTGAAATTTTGCTGTCCAAAGAGGCCAAGATTATGTTGTTGACTATTTTTCATAAATTCAAGTGAAGACTTGCAGACATGGACTTCATGTGCTGGTGCATGTTATACCTGTGCTAGCTGAAATACAAGATAAATTTATTCTACTATGGACCAAAAATAATACTGAAGTGCTGGGTGCAGTGACGCATCTCGTTATGTCACCCATGCTCAGTAGGATGGGAGCAAACTAATGAAAAGCAAGTAGATAAAAATTATGTAAAATGCACAGGAAAAAAGGAGATACTTTTTTTTTTTTTTTAATCTTTTCCTTCCCTTTGAGAAAACCCCTGTCATATGGCATGCTGTGCACAACAAGCAGCACTTCAGTCCATCTTGACCGCAGCTGTGGAGATCTGGCACATAGGTGTTTGTATCTGCTGGATAAGCAATCACGTATCTTTTGTAAAGATTACCCTTCGCTACTTCGTAGTGAAGTGTTTTCATGCCTACCGGCACAAACAACCAAAATAAATCCTCTTCAAAGAGGATCAGTGATAGCAGCGGAGGCAACACTGGCACGTCCATCCCCCAAATGAAGCAATAAGAAAGTCTGCATTCCCTATAGGAACCAGAGACGGCTTGTTTGGACTGGTTTGGTCTGAGCTATAGAAACACAGTACCTGCAAATACATCAAGTGAGGGATTCCCAGAGCTCCTGATGCAGAGGAGAGGCTGAGGAGAGAAACACTTTTTAGATAGCTTTGTCACAATTGCTTTCCTCAAAAAATCATGTGCCTCAAAACATTGCCTTCATCCAGGTGTATTGTCTGACAAGACGTTCATTAAAAATGAAGCCTTTCCTACTTAAACAATTTTGAAAATTGCAGTAGAAAGCTGTCTAGAGCTGCAGCGATCACAGTAGCCATTTCTGCTTGCATTGTTCAAGCACTTTTAGAGATAAGGAGCATCCTTTAAAGCAGTTAAGAATTTAGGCACGTCCATTACCAGTTCACAGGTGACACCTGAGCATCTGAAAAGCACCCTGATTCCACTGCAAGTGTTTTGAAGTCCTGCTGCCAATGATGGACAGGGAACAGCACTGATACTGCTAACAGGGTCTCATGACACTTGCAGGTTGTTTGTTAAACCCCATCAAATGAATAAAAACCTGGGTAAATATCTCTATGTGACTGAATGATTTTTAAATATATATATTTTATATTAGGATGCTTTGCTTTAATTACATTATTTCAAAATGCATCAACAAATTGGACAGTATTTTGCACGTTAGCACAGTATAGGTACAGAGTATAAAATGTATTGTATCTTCTTTATTTATGCACAATCCAAAAGAACAGGAATGCCCCACAGCCTTACTTTGATTTAATACCTTGAAACAAGGGAACTTACCAATAACATTCAATAACTTAAATGGCCGTGAGTCACCAAGAGACATCAGGTTGAGATTTTCTGGTCTAGTACACACAAATCAATGAATAATAAAAAAAAAAAAAAAAAAAAAAAAAAAGCAACATACACACAAGAAAACAGTTAAGGAGTTTTGTTGTTGTTGTTGTTTTTTCTCAGCCAAATTAGCTAAATTAAATACTTATGATTTTGTGCTGTTTACTTGTGGGTCGTTTTTTTTCCAATATACTCAGATAATAAATAAAATGTCCAGGAATAGTATTTCAAGACTGGAAGAAAATTTATACCTTTTCATGAAGAATATTGCTAATCACTACAGAAAGCATTCAGTCAAAGAATATCTTATTAGTCAAAGAATATATTTGCTGGGATATAATTTTTTTCTCCACAAATAAACTGTCTTACATTGTTCTCAGAATAATTCACAGCATTTTTTAATAACTAAGTATTTGATCGTAACTGGAAGGCACTGTCTTTCCTGCCTGATATGTAAATTGTTATTAATCTGAATCAATAATACCTAGCACCATAAGGTGGGACACCTAAATTCATGGAGTTTTTCAAGATTAACTTTTCAACGTACAGACCATTTACACTGGTTGCCTAAATAGGGATCTGCCTGCAAGCATAGCGATGCTTTTCAAAACATCTGAGGTTTTGAAAAAATACTTATGTTTCCCATGAACTAGAACCCCACACTGAAAATACCGGCATCATATTGTGAAGCCATTTAAAACATTATTTCTACAGCCTCACAACAGTGACCCTAACTTTACTAACAGTGTAGCAATTGGAAAATGCACAAAGGGCATACTGAACACTACAAGCAATTAAAGCAGATAGTTTTGCACATATCCTTTTTATTTTTAATAGTTTTTAAAAAATATTAAGACAGAAGAGCTTGTAAATGTGTTTGTTATTTTAACTTGTAGAAAAAAATCTTTAAAAAAATGTAACCATTAATCATTACTGATAATCTGCAGAAATACAAGGTAAAATTTTTGAGCAAAATAATAAATAAACAAAGAAAGCACTTATTCTATGTGTTACTGCCATAAAGGATATAATTATAATGTTTATTTTGGCTTCAATGGCCATTAATTCATAAACAACATTGTCTACTTTGGTTTAGGTTTTTGACACCTCTGTCTTCTCTTTCAGAAATAAGTATTACATAATCACAAAAATTAAGATTGTTTTTATGGGTAGTACATGTCCCTGTGGGATACCATAGTATAATACTCTCTTTATCATTTAATTCACCTGAATTAGTATGACTTACTGTTTTTAAAGTAAAAATGCTTGAATGTCTGTGGTACCATGAAGTTGCATCCACAATTTCTCATGAAGATGTCAGAAGGACATGTCTCCACTAAAAATGAAAGAGCCTGCGGGGAAATAAAAGGGAACAGAACTGAATTTCACACTAAGCTGTTCTTGCTTTGTCTGTTATTCCCCTCCATATTCAGAGGTGACCATATAACCTTGCTATTAGATTGATCTCTGTCATTTGTTGTATGTTTAAAATCTTTGCAATTGTGATACAGAATTACTACACAGATGCTGGGCTGAGATGGAGGTTAATAAAAAAAGAAAACACTGCCTGAAAACAGATGTTTGGATTTTGAAGCACAAATATAGCTGACTCTCAGCAGATAAGCCCAGATTTCACCAAGTCTAAGGGATAAGAGACCAACATTCCTCCTTTAATCTGATTTGGTATACTCACCAGTATTCAGATAAGATAAAAGCATAAAAGATCAAAGTCTATTCTTTTGAACGATTAATCAGTGGCTTTTTATTTTCTCCTAAAATACTTGGAACATCTGTGTATCTAATAGAAGGCAAATCTCATCTATAATAGGGATTCTAGTATTTACTAACAGTTGCTTGTTTAAAAAATAAGGTGGTTGACAACAGTTATGTAGAGAGTTGAGTTTCTATGACTTTTCATTAAAATTCTACCAACTAATTAAAGCCTACAAGAAAAATATAAATCTCCAAAGTTTGGAATAATACATGGTTAATAGGCATGAATTGGCTATAACTACCAGGATAAACCAGAAGTCTAGTTTTAAGTAGCTACTACCTTTCTAGGATACAAGAAAAAACTCACCTGAAAAAGTAAATAATTAAAATTATAATTAATATACATTGTACCCGTGTTCTTAGTAGTCTCTTTCATGTATTTTTCCCACTAGCTACTGCAAAAATGCAATTAATAGCAATTATCTGACATGCAAGAGAGCAACTTATGATGTAAACACTAACAAGTTTTCCAGATCATCAACACTGAGCTTAAAAAGAAGTAAAAACAGCCTTATGGCACCATCCAAAATGCACACAATTCTGTCAAAATAGACTGAGATTTGGGCAATGCACTGGAAAACCAACTCACTGTGGGGGTATAGACGATGGTTTGTTCATGGCATGCAAGATAATTGAAACAAAAATAAGTTCCTAAAACACTTACAATGTGAGTACATTAAACTAGGTGTCCGCCAATGAAGGAGGAGGAGCTGATTTCTCTTTTGCTCATTTTCAAGCAGCACCTTAACAGATGTATTTTTAATTTTCAACAATTTTCATGTAATTTGCAAAATTATTATACAGAAGAGTATTTGACATGGAATACACGATTAGTGACATTGATAAATATAAAGACTATTAATTAAACGTCTGCTTGCTAAGTGAATGATTAGGAATTGTATTTCTACACTTTCAGCAATGTTCAAAAACTAGAGGACACTAAGTTAAGCAGAAGTGGGATCAAGTGCTACATTACCAGTGCTATTATGCAGTTTGCCAATACTCCAAAAAAACAAGGAAATAAGGTTAATTAATCACTTAAGGTAATATATGCAAGTAGCACCAATACCACCATTTATGCATAGATGCATGTTCTAGAATAATTACAGTAAGATGGAACACGCTCCTTGCAGCACAGATTGTTAGAGACTGATAAAGATAATACCACCACATCTTCAATGCTCTCTTTACTACACTGGTGTTTTATGGGAAGCAAACAGCAGGATTTTATGGATGGCTGTATTAATACATTATTGATACATTCCATAAGCTACAAGAAAAATAAGGATGCTCTGAAATTCAGTCAAGAATGAATTTGGTCAGGTTTATTCCAATAATTACTGTTCCCCAACTTTTGTGCCATCTGTGCATGCTGCACAGGAAAACCAACATCAATTAATAAAGTGACTGCTGGAGTAGAGGCTCTAATGGCATCTAGCTGCTGGGGATCCCCCCCAGTGAGGACTCCTGGGCAGATGCCTGCTCTGCGTTTGCTTTTCCTTGGGTAGCAGTTCTGATGTCTTTGTAGTAAGGGTCTATAGAGAAACATAAAGTGAAATAATCAGTTATTTTGCTAAATAAATGAGAAGCAAATCCACTGACATTGTTATGGGGCTAATGTAAAAGGAGTGTGAAAATGGCAGTATCCACTCATCTGTGTTCTGTTTTGCCTGAGATCACCAACCCAAAAGCTTGCCAGTAGGCTTTTAAATAAGTATTTTGCCATTTCACTGATGTCTTGATCTACTTTCTACATTTATTTAGGTGCCTCTTGTCAGTATTTCTGGGCCCTGTCAATGTAAGACCCTGATAGATAAGGTTGGACTCTTATATCACACTCCAAACACCAAAGAAAGTCAACCTCTAGAAATATCAGGGTTTCAGGAGCCCACAAATGCTTATCCACTTAAATTCCTATATAAAATGGAAAGGGAAATGTTCACTTCCAAAAATAATAAAATAAATAAATAAAATAAAATAAAATAAAATAAAATAAAATAAAATAAAATAAATATGGAAGTGTAGACCAAACCAGCAAAATAGCTGATCTCACTAAAGTAAGAGGATGCTAACAAAAGACCTACTACTGCCCTTCTTCAAACATAGTTGTTGCCAGCATAGCCCCCAGACAACCCCAACAATATGTAGTTGTCTAGCTTGGCCATTTCTATGGGTAACCTGCTTGTAATTAGGCACTTTTTTTTGTGGATATCACATTTCCATGTCACTGGCCTTTCTTCTCCCCTCAGTTTTTCTTTTATATTTTCCATATGATTTAATGAGGCCTCAATTTTTTCCTTTAAAGCCAAATTAGGTGTTAGAAATTTAATCATCCACAGCAAGCCTCACAGTTGTCAACAGTATGACGAGAAAGCCTCAGTTCTTATAAATGGCGATGTGACACTCAGCAAGAACCCTCTTCTAAATGGCAGTTTGTATTTTATTCTCATTTTTATTAACCTAAAAAAAGCCACAACAAAGAGCATAGTTATTGAGATAAGCAGGACTGTGGGGCTGAGTACACTCTCTGGTGACCCCACCCAGGATGGCCACCCTGTGGGGATGCTTGAGCTGGACCTGGTGGGGTGGGACCAGCAATGTGGGGACAGGGCCATGCAGCACTGACATCCTTGGTGCCCAGATGCCGCCTGCTCCCTGCATGGAGGAGAGACTTGCCAGAGCACTGTCTGTAGCGTGCATGGCCACCAACCCAGCAAGCGAAACCCCAGCAGTGAATGAACACTGCCTACCAAAAATGGAGTCTTCCTCAGGAACCACGACTCTACCTAAGAGTGCAGATTCAGGGTTTGGGTGCTCCTGCCAGTCAGACTGATACTCATTTCCACCTGTACGCCCTGGAATGCTTTCACCAGTTAAGGTATGTTTGTCTGCAGTGATAATCACATGCCAGGTGTGAAGAAGAGCCATCACATCCACAAAGCCTGTATTTCATATGCTGTCCAAATGGCCAATATTTCTGTTTTGGAAATCAGCAGCCCAACTCCTAAGCAAAATTTAGAATTGTGTGTTAAAGCAGGTTTCATTTCTAGAGGTATCTCCATCCCATGTGCTGGCAAGGTAGAAAAGGATCTCGTAAAGTCATGTCCCTGCCTAACACAGGAAGAGAATGGATCTGTTTCATTGTGTCACACTCGTTCAATGTGTGTTTTGAGAGAAGATCAATAAAAGAGGTCTGCAGTCTCTCTCATACATGGTAATATTCAATCTACTACTCGTGAACTATTAAACAGTGAGAATGGAGTACATAATCCTTCTATTCTTAACAGTACTTTTAGAATAAAAATATACGGAGCAAAACCACACTGCTTCAAATTAGTAAACCTAAATATTTACTTTACATAACCTGTTATTTAATATACTGTGCAATAGGCAAATACCCTCTTTAAAGTTATGCTTATAAATCATCAAAAGGAATAGCTAATACATATCAATCATATACTAAAAAATGCATTTAAACCTGTAATTTGTAAACCTATGTAAACTCAGTATATACTTAACCAATACTAAATATATGTATATGCGATTCTTAGAGAATTTTATAACTGAATTGACTACATGCTGTAATGGAAGATTACAAAAGGAATGAAATATATGCCATATATTCATATGCGAGCTATTACATTAGAGTTGCAATTCAAAGAATAGCCTAAAAATCTAAATTAAATCTGACATCTCATTCTTTCTTTACACTTTTTTTCAGCATTAATTTTGAATTTTCGTGTCTCTGTCTTTAGAAGAAGCTTAATGGGGAATATTACCTACAAATAGCTTTTGATGTTGCATTTCCTTCAAAATTGGATTCATCAAAAAATGCAAAAATATATTTATTTTTGCTCTGGAACAAGTTAAGAACAAGTTTTTGGACTGAGTATTTCTCACTAAACTAGTGAAAGAAATTTTTTCTTTACATTATATTTTAATATTCACATTTTGCATATTGTGAATGGTTTAAAGGACATTTTAAGGTAAACAGGTTAAAATGAAAAATGTAGCATCCTAAGCAACCATAGCCAAAAATTCCTTGGCAAGTCTGGGTTAATATAAACTATGATAGATAATCATGTTAGTGAGAGTCAGAATAAAGTATTTGTTATATAAAACACACACACACTAGAAATTATCTGCAAGCATATAAGGAAGAATTTTCTGGCTTTGCTTTTCTCTGTGGTTTCATGGCCTGGTGCAAACTTTCATTGCATTTTAGTATGTTGAGTGATATTATTACTTACTTTGGTTTACACCTGGAACCTCGCATGAGACCAACCATATTAGAATCTGATGTCATACTCAAGTTCAATAAAAGATGAATAAACTTTCACTTAACTGTCAAAACTAGTCCTAGTTTCAAGTTTCCTGTTGTAATCCCTGTCTGGCACTAATCTAAATATTTAATTACTTGTTCTGTTAATAACAGCTTACAGGCTTAGAGAAGTGGACTATACACTCGAGTATGCAATGCTGTTACTTTCTAAATTAGAAAGCAATCCTATGATCTGCATGAAATTAAATTTACTTTTAATGTACTTTTAACCAAAATCTTTCATCAGGGATCTCATATATTGAATGCTTTAATTTTACTTTCTCTACCCTTTCCAGCATACTTGCATTAATCTTTGTCTCCTAGAAGAAACATGGTTGCTAAATTTCACATTATCTGACTGTGTCACCCCAGCTGCTATGTATCTCCTTTCTACCTTATCAAAGCCAAAATTACAGTTCTTTCCTCTGCTCTTTTCATAAATTTTCACCTTGCTACTTACATTATCTGCCTCTTCTAATTTCAAAAACAGGTCTGCTACCAGCTCCCCTCTTTTTATTTTTAATTTTGTGTTAAGTTCTTGGTACACTGAGCCAGCTGCATGAAATTGGTTACTTTCTGTTCCTCTAAGTTTCTTTCCACTATAGCTAACCTAAGAACATTGAAATATAGGTGACATTTTATTCTGCTTCTCTCCTTTTATTTCTAGACTGCAAACACCAGGATTTATTGGATGTTGCCAAACACATTTTAGGTGCTACTGTAAAACAAAATGATTCATTGATTCAGCAAACACTTACAGCAAAATGATTCTTCAGAGCATTTTCAAATGGCAGCCTTTCCTTCAGGGTGAACACGTACTCTGAAGAACATCGAAAAAAACACAGAAAATAGTGTGTATTGTATGTGCACATGCATACATACAGACACATCATACTTAGAAAAACACGGACAACTAGATAGCCTCGTATGACAGGCTTTTGAGGAATGCTACTGCATGATAGCACTCTCCGATTCCCATTTCTCTAAGATAGGAATCAGCATGCCATTTAGAGCATTTTCAGAGACATGCATTTCCAGGGAGATACTCAACAGGATTCCTGGTGATGCAGCAACATTGTGATGTGGATAGAATTGATTTACCGATTAATAACTGAGCTACCCAACATTTCTTTGCAGTGATCAGCTTTAATATATGAAAATACATGGACTGTGGAAACAAAATATGAAGCAGAGCTTAATGACTAGTGTTTTAAAATGTAGACTCTTGCCTCTTCAGCAGTGTTTGACCCACAATTTGTATACGTAACCTTTACTAATAAAGCTAATAAATGACCAATTGCCACCATTGTCATCCATTGCTACACAGAATAAAACAGGACATGTGGCAAGGGGAGCTGCCAGAGACAGTGAGGAACAGGGGGATGTAAGTCAAAGGCTGTGTTTCCAGAACAAAAGAAAAGATTTTGTGTGCTTAAGTACAGTGATTTAAGATCATTTAACCACAAGACTAAATAGTTACTAATATTTACTAAATTATTACCCATTCCTCACAATGTCCCATCCCCTAGGCAAGGTTAGCAATCCCATAACAGAGCTGCAGACAGAATTTGTCAATCTACTTTCTCTGAACAGCCAACGGCTGATTTTCTATTTTTGCTAGAGCTGGGTCAGCCTCCTTCGCAGGGAAGGAGCGGAACTGCACATGCCAGCCTGCAGCCAGCCCTGCAGCAGCACTGGGCACACACCGCAGCAGCCTGGTATGGAGCTGGGAGCTGCTGCAGCTGGACGTCTGTCACAGAGCACAGTGGGTTGGGCTCCGTCCTATTTCTTGAAATACATTTGCTTTTGGTAAAACAGACTCCAGAACCACAGAAACATTTAAAACACACAGTCCTATTTTGTGTGCAGACTAAATGAACTCTGAGTGAAAACGTCAACTCTCAAACCTGATTTTACATGTGCAGAAATGTAAACTACATTAAAATGTTTAACTCAAAGCTCATTCTTTCATGATTCAGCTACACAACCACAGAACTGCTAATAAGCAGTTTATCAGTCATAAAAAGGGTTATTAACATTGCAGCAACAGACGTTATTCAAAAAAATAAATGTTCCACTTACAGTGCTTATTTCTCACTGAAGTTTAATATTTTTCCAAAGATCCAAATGTCTCTTCCTTCACCCCCAGGTTTTGGTGGAAAGTTTCCTGAGCAAAAACTTGTGTTTGGTGGGGTTTGGTACTGTGATAAAAGAAAACAGATTGTGGATGCTTTTTTTTTTTTTTTTTAATTATTTTTATCTTTTTAATTCAGCATTGTTTAAAAGATGGGATAGGCATTGTCCTATTTATATCCAATTATATGTGTCCACACTCCTCAAGTCTGTAATGCTCTTGCTGTGCAAAAGCACGATTGTACCTATCAAAAAAAAAAAAAAAGAATATTGCCCTCCCTCCTACTTTAAACCAAAGTATTAAGGGCTGAGATAGCTAAATTCAAGTTCAGTCTTTTCTGGATCTGGTTTCAATATCTACGCAATAGCAGAGGAAGTATAATTTATGGAACAAAACAATAAAGGTGGAGAAAATGATGTGTGACAAACACCCAAATCCTGATTATTTAATCTGCTGCAATGTATTTCAGTAACCAAATGCAAGTTACTCAGTCGTTGTGTGTGTTTCAGCCACATTAGAAGACTGGAGTTCATCGTTTCTAATTTTTAAAGTAGATTACAGCTGCCATGTCGTTAAGACCTTACAATTATATCTGAACAATAAATTGTATTATTAATAGGATGCTTATGGCCTGTGAGTATTAGATATTGTTGTTTGTGATTTGCACTTAAAGAGGGATTTTAATCAAGTTTACCATTCTCAAAAAGTCTGTTTTGCATTTAAATAAGCATCCTTAAAAATTGATCTGGTTTGCTCAATTATACAGTGGCTCATTCTGAAGCCTACGAGTAATTTATAATACAGACTCTGTGAGCAAGGAAGATGTATTGCATTGTACTTAATCTTATCAAATTTCTGCTGATTTCTGACGACAATGTCTGTTTATCATAATTATTATGAGTTGTCTGGGTTAATAAAACTTGAAAAACTGTGTGGGAATTAAACCAGTATGGAATGTTATACTTATTATTTATGTAAGGCTATCTGATACCAGCTGTCCTTCATGGGTCTATGAAGCCATTTATTTCAGAATTGCTTCTTGTACCACCATTGTTAAGTAGTTCAAATATACTAAAATCCAATTTTTAGGACTGTATAACTTCATATTATGAAGTCTCTCAGATGAAAACATCTTAATTACATATTACAGTATCCCAAATTATATAATATTTGATAAAAAAAATGTTTTCATTAAAAACTACCTGGGCTTCATTTGCATTATGCTGTAACTGTAATGAAATTGCTTCTTTGCCTTAGTGTTATCCTATAGGTAACTAATTTATTGTGCAAAGGGATCAGTTTTGTTCACTGAGAGTCATAATTAGCTTCTATATTATAAGAAGTACTTACAAACATCATCTGTACTGGTTTCATACTACAACATCATTTTTAAGATGCTCTCAGCACTGGAAGTGCATTCACTAGGAAATAATTTATAAAACAAACCAAAAAAAGAAAAAAAAAGGAAAAAATATCTTGATTTAATATCCCTTTCAGAAGGTGCAAAATACAAATGATTTTATTTGTAAAGAATTTGAAGCACTCACCTTTTAAGATTGCACCAAGGATATTTTGAGATCTGAAACAAAAGCTCATGTTTGTCCCTTTCTTCAACACAGAACCTCATTGATTTGCCTTGGAATTAAACCTACATGTGTAGGCAGTGAGCCACTTTTTAATTCAAGGCCAGGTCAGTGCCTACACCAAAGGAGCAACAGATGCTCACAAAACTATTGCACAGTAATGAAATGTGGAGAAAATACACTTCACAATCTAGTAGAGACAATAAAATTATGTAAGCAAATGAATTTCCAAATTAAAAATGGGAACAATTAAGTCCTTATAAGCTCAAAAAATCCATTCTATCATCAGTGAGCATTTACTCTTTGAGTATGGATATTCTTGGCCAGTCTGATGTCCTGTTTCTACCAGTAGTAGCAAGGCTAAGAAGTTTGGGAACCCCTCTTGTTAGCTCTGGCTCCGATTTATTTTGTGATCAATCTCACATCATTTTTCAGTTCTACATGTACAGAACTTAGAGGTATGGTATGAGCATGAACTTCCAGATAAGACACAGAAGCTTTCTGATAATAGGTATAGCAGAAGCACAACAAAGTACTTTTGCCATAAGAACAACTTTGGATTTAAAGAAGTGAGGAGGTAAAAACAGTGTTAAGTTGATACTAAAGTCAATAAACTATATAATGACAAGATTTAATGCTGTTTTATTTCACAGTTCAATATAATGTAAGCTTTTGTTGCTTAAAGGAGGACTTTATTGATGTTTACAGATTGACTTTATGGCTTGCTTGTCACCAGGAGAGCCAAGACATGTCTGTCTCAGTTTCTGGTCAGGAATGCCAGGGCCATACACTGTCTATTTTCATACCAAGTAGAAGAAAAAATATAGTCTGAAATTCCTGTATCAGAGCAACTTGTTAAGATAATTGTCTTGCAATGATTGATCTAGTCATGTCAAGATAATAAGTTTTTTATGGTCCTGAGGAGGATTTAATCTAATTTTTGGAGGGATTCTGATCTCACTGTTGCCGCTTTATCACTTTTAATCTCAACACTTTTATTTGAATTTGATCTGCAAAATTCAATATACTTTTAGTTGACAGCTGAAAACATAGAATAGTCTTTTTACACTAAGTTTCCCTGTGTTGAAACTGTGTTTTAAATCTTGTTATCATTACTCTGAACAAATCCAATTATGGAGTTGTTTTGCTGCTTTAGACAGAGAATACTCAGTATAATTTCTCCAAAACAATAAAAGAACCAATATCCGTTTCTCCTAAAGAAAAAGTAGTGGTTTTGAATAGAAGAAGGCCACTAATAGTGTCCTTAATTATTTGGTCGAGGATCATTTGTGATTTAGGAAAAGATGTCTAACATTGTGCTGTCCTTGAATAGAAACTATTTATAGTTGTATTGTTTTAAATTCCTAACTATATGATGATGAAGTCAAGTTGTCTGAATTTAAAAATAAATTTGTTCAGCGTTGTTCTCAAGTTTTAATTTTAATAATAAGATATTATTATTATTATTATCATTATCTTTATCATTATTATTTATTTTCTAAGGCAACATGGTCAATTACCACAAATCTGGTTAATACCAAGCTCGTAAGCTTTGGCTGGGACTACACTGACTATAGTGTTCTGGGCACCAAAATACAGAGCGGAGATAAAAAACACACCAGAAATTTGAACTGAAAGAGAATAAAACCACTACGACAACAGAAAGCAATCTGGGGCAGGAACTGCCAGAGCTGTTCCAAGTGTGCCTCCTGGTGAGCCCCAGCCCACCGACTGGTATTATTGCCATATACGTATGAAGCAACCAAATGCAAGAAATCTGCTCCCCATGCACTTGTTTCCCCTCTGAGCCCAGCCCTGCCCATGGCCCCACTGCTCCCCAGCCACCAGCCCCACGGCAGCGTGCGGCGCTGCAGGTGTTCCTGCTGCGTGGGGCTGCATGGCCCCAAGGCGCGGCTTCTCCCTCTCAAACAGGGAAAAGGATTTCCTCTGCTCTGCTTCTGGGATTGCGGTGTTTGTTGTATTTTCTCTTTGGCTCTATCCTCTTTGATTATTTTTAGTTCTTAATCTTATTACTTCACACTTCTGTACAACTGAGCTGAATAAGCTACTTATCCAGCCTCTAAGCTGAATCTATCCAGATCATTTTGAATTTATTTGCTCTGTTCCTCTGTATTTACTTTATCCTCCGTTTCCATTTCTATGTCATTGGCAAATTTAGGTCAGTAAATTATAAAGTAAACAAAACTGGCCCTAATGCTGTGCTTTCTGACATTCCTTTTAACTCCTTCCTGAACTATTTTTTATTTATAAGATTTGCTCCTTCAATCAAAAATACTTCCTAGGGACCTCATATGACTTTCTGTAAGAGAATGCTTGCTGTATTTGCAGACTAAACACTTCTAAAATCTATTTTAAAATGAGCACCAGATTGCTCTCTCTTTCATCACCTGAACACGTATGGGCATTCTCCAGGAGAAAGACGGAAGCCAGCAGTCACAGAGAACATCTTAAGCCATACATGGGGTGCCTTTTGGCCTGGGCACATCACTTAACCTCCTGGGAGAAGAGTTCAGAGGATTCTTTTTGCTAAGTAGACATGGTTAACATATGCAGAAGCATAGTCTTTGTAATCTTCATCCTTCAAGCACATTTGTTAACTTTTTTTTTTGTCTCCTGCTTCCTCAGTACATTTTTATTTTCATTTTTTTTCGGTCATCAGCATCCCCTGGATTGCTGCTACTTAAATAAAACATTCTCCCCTAGGTGATACGTAGTGAGTCGGTGAAAAGATGCTGTCATTTGCCTCATTGTGACATGTTTCAGCACAATCTTTGTGAATTTCTCTGGTACTTCCAAATATGCAATCTATGTTAAGTAAACATATTTCCAGTGCACCTCTCAAAATACATCAAAACACTTGTTTCAAACTAACTTGATTTTTTATTATTCAGATCAGAATAGTCTCTTTTCTGCATCAATGTTTTTAATTCTGCCTTCTAATGTGGGGGTTACCACTAAAAGCAATAATATGCCTTTCTCTGTGAGCTGATACCCGTAAAGGATCAGACGTGCAGTTTCCACAAAGAATTTTTAAGGCTTACTTCTTCCATTTGGTGTACTCTGCTGAGTGTCTAGATAGTCACAATCACCAATAAGCAGCACTCTGCTGCCATGGGATGTCTTCCTGTGTGCTCAATTACCTCACCAGCCAATTTCCTTCCTTCTCCATTTTGTGTGTGTGTGTGTGTGTGTGTGTGTCAGATTCCTTGTGAGAGATCCCTGTACTACTCATAATCTGGAAACATACAGGCCTTAGAGATTTCCTTTAATTTGCATAGGCTGTTTGTAAGAACAAACCATGCATTGGGCCACACAGCCTTTTCAGCACAGAAACTTCCAATCAGTCAACACACACTGGCTTGTTTATGAGCTTTCCTGTGCATCAGACAAGCAAAATGGAGGAGCACTCTAATAAGGATTATTCTTGACACCAAAGTTTGGTTCTAAGGGGAGTTTACCCCCAGT